CAAAGTGATAAAGTTGGTGCGAAGGTGGGTGGGCGGCGTTGCTGTATGCCAATGGAGTCTATACACAATTTATTTATTTATTTTTAGTAATGGGGAAAATTATATAATTTCAAATTACTATTTTTTTTTTGTTCAAAAGTTACTAATTTATCAAGTTTACGAAATACGCAAAGTATATGTTTAAAATTTGGGTTTGGTACGTATTTCCTCCGTTATAACAACTAAAAGTATTTTTCTAACTCTTTCTCTTTTCAGTTTATTACACAAACAATTTAAAATGATCATAAAATTACATGAAATTATAGTTTAACTAATTAATCATAGTTAAATAAACTTCATTTTTTAAAAATCCTCTATATATTAATTGAGGAGACATTAGGTAAAAAGATCATATATGTTATTCAATGAGGATTTTAGAAGATAATTAATGAAACAATTATAAAATTATAAAATCCTAATGACTTCTGTTATACACATCTTAGGAAACCCACTAATTGTCTTTATACAAATAACCTAAGAGCCCTAAGAGATTTTAGTCCAATATACAAACACACGATATTGTTATTTGCACACAATACCTTTAATCAATTAAATCAACCAACAAAACGTTTTAATTAATTAGATTTTCATGTTGGAGACCTCTATATATCGTATGTATCAATCAAAGACAAATTTAAGGGACATATCAATTAAATTAATCAATCCAAATATTATAATTAATTATATACATCATGGTTAAAATCTTTTTATTTTTTTATTATTTTTAACAAAGACTCACAAATACATGTGCCATAAATTTAAATACAACTAAATCGTAACATTTTAATATTTTTAAAATATTATATAACATCCTAAGTCCTATGTATATTAATTGAAAAGACATTCACATAATATAGCTGATGTGTCAATCAAAAAGTAAATTAAGAATTTTTTCAATAATCTATTAAAAACTAGCATGACATACTAAAAAAAACTAACAAAAAAAACTTTCTCAATCGTCATAAAGATTTAAACTGACTCAATGACACCTTTTAAAATATTGGTTCGGCTATTGCAAATCGACTCAATCAATTATCAGCACTCACAAAATTTAAGCATGTTGATTATTTATTGTTATTTTTTTTTGTTAAAGTAAATGTAAATATTTTTAGTTAGACCATCTCCAATGTATTTCTCTATATTGAACTCTAAAATAGAGAAAATCTATAATAGAGTTGAGTTTTACTCCAATATATTCCTTTATTTTTTTAGTCTAAAAGACTAAAAGGAATATATTAAAGCATATTCTCTTTCTATTTTATTACAAAATACATTTTATTTGTAAAATTTACAAATTGACCCCATTTATTTTATTCTTGCAAAAAATTTCAATAAACTATAATTTTTAAAAAAATTAAACATTTATTATACAAATAAAATCACATTGCATCATATAAAAAATAATGAAACATGGCAGATTTTGATTTAACCATCATTTTCACATGTTACTTTGTACTTCATAAATATTCATTAAGTCATTAATAACTTAATATATTGACGTTATTTATATTTAATGAATATTCATGTTTCTTTATACTTAAAAAATATTATTTAACTTAACATAATATTCACTACAACTCTCTAATTTGTTTTTTTAGTCATAAGTAAAAGAAATAAAAGTTTAAAGAACTATTTTGCAAATAAAAAATCTGACTCAAAAATAGAGATAGAAATAGTTTTCCTTTATATATAGAGGTAAAAATAACATTTTTCTATTTTAGAGGTAAAATTATAGATGGGTTTGAGATGCCTTTAACTGCATATAACTATTAAGTTTTATTGCCTTAAAAACAAGTCGTAGTACCAAATTTACATTAGTTTGGAACTACATAAGTCAAATATAACAACTATTTTCTAATATTTTTGGTTGTCTATGTTCGAACTGATAAATTTAAAATTTATTTCATATAGTTATATCTTTTTAATATTTTGTTTATATATTACCAAATAGTTTCAATATGCAACTAAATTTTATAATCCCGCACTTTGTGCTGGTCATTATCTGGTAACGATTAATATATATGCGTATTTCTCTCCTAAAAATGTAACTAAAATGATTCTCAGACTTTTACCTCATTATTTTACTACACTAATAATTTAAATTGTTCATAAAAATTACATGAACTTATTATATTTTACCAAATAAAATTGATTCAACCAATTTGAAAATTAGATTGAGTGAACTATAATCACGTTTTAGAAATCACGATTTGCTTAATCAAAATATATTCTTTTGTCACAAGACTTATAATAACTCTTACAATCGGAAAATTTAATGATTTTCTACACGCATAAAAAACTCCTATATTAATGATTTCACTTATGGTAACTATA